GTTTGGTTGGTCTGCCAATGTGCAGAGGTAAAGTGCAGTCTTTCACTTTCTAACCACTTAATCTCTATGTCTCCCCACCAAAATCAAGTGGTGAGGTTAGTAGGGGTATCTGTCCTATCACTTATCTGGCCAAAAGAAATGCACACTTCTTCCTCTGCACATTTTATTGTTAAAGGACTTTCTTATTCTTCTGCCTGGCTTATGTCAAAATTCATTTCTTCCAGGCTAATGACGTCACAAACAATTGGTGATACATCTAGCCTTGAGTTCATGAGAGGAAGAAGGATTCTTGAGATCAATCCTGAAAATCAAATTTTGACTAACGAGAGCTTTTCTATTTATTGTCATTTGATTCTCAAGTCAATTTATTGAACTTTCTCTCCTGATTGCAGGCTGCATGGTGGAACAGCCAAAGATGATAAAGATGCTCTGAGGGCTAGTGATCTTCTATATGATACAGCTTTAGCTTCTAGAGGCTATCCTGTGAGTATTCAGCACATATCTACTTAGTCTTTTAATATCATTAATGGGTTGGGGTAGGGGTAAATTAGCACAAGTATTTGTCAAACCAGGAATTATCATGAATCCAGATTTTTTTAATGTCCAAAATGCAAGAACCTCCTTGTGATTTATCTTTTGGCTTTTGATATTCATTTCAAATTGAGTCACTTTAATCTATGATTATATAATAAGATGTGGTCCTCTTCATTGTTTAACCCTCTGATCTCAGGTGATTATCCCATACTGAGGGAGGCTGCCTTTGCGTTCTCTGCCTTGCTCAGTAGAGAACTAATCAGAATTCTTAATTGAACTTGGACCTTCCAAGGATTATACAGGAGACCGACAACTAAAAGTAGCCATGGATTGTTGGTCATGTTTGAATCTTATGCATTACCCTTTTTATTAGTATTCCTTGTTTTCTATCTCTGTTACAGGCATATATATGATGTCTATACATGATGGTAGTCCTCCAACATACTTGTGTTCTTGCAGCCCGAGAATCCAGCACAACTTGGTGGGAACATCTAAGGAGATAATGGGCATGGCTCTTGCAGGCAAATGGTCTGACTCCTGAAATCCAGCAGCCAGCAGCCCAACCACACAACATGGAGACCATAGAAGCTGAAGTGGTCGAACCAGTTGAAGCTGGCAATCAAAAATAAGTAGCTAGATTACTTCTTTTGCCATTTCATGTGTTATAGGCATAAATTAGTCACCAGAGATCGTAGGAGGCTGTAGTTCATGAATGAATGTAAATTTTGAGTGTAATCTTGAACTGAATCAATATTTGGCTGGCTCTTTCAACCTTGGATTGCGTTGCAGTCAGTAATTTCTAGTATTCAGGACTTCATTGTCTACACATCAGAGCATTGTTTAACAAATTAATGATTTTTTTTCTTTTTAAATATGTACGGTCATTTAAAGGAACAGCAATTGGTAAACAAAATGTTTGTTACCTCATTAATGGATTTCCATAAAAGCACTAAATTTTTGAAACCTCTTAATTAGTCTCTAAAAATGTTTTTCTTCACTTTAGATTATTCAATGTATTCACTTACGAAAGCTTTCGGTTATTATTTTTTTGTTCATAAATATCAATCCTGCACGAGAAAAACTTGACCAAAAGGCCACTAATCGTGTTTTTATTATAATCATTGGGATCTTTTTATATCTTGTCCTATTTTGTTATCCATTTTGTCATCTTTTTCGTCTTTACCAATCTTACAACATACTTCCATAGGTGAGTAAAGTCAAATGATAAGATAAACTACTTGTTTACTCAATGAGACCACAAATTGCTTAACAAAACCAAGCATCGAAATTAGAAGCCGATCTAATTTCACAACCTCAAGATCTACTTTAAAGTATTGATACAGTAAATGATCTCAATGTGCTCATTATTATAAGACATAAGATCCTGTATTCAATATCTATATTTAAAATATATGTTATATTGCTACTTATATAACAAGAATAAAACATTTGTATTTCAACTTGATAGTATAAGAATTCATACTACCGTATTTGATATCTTGAAAGATTCAATTTGAAAATTGATTTAATTTTACAATTACAGAATTCGCCTTAAAGTATTAGTATAATAAATGATCTTGATATGCTCATTGCTATTATAAAAAAGGCGTAAAGTCCTATATTCAACATCTATACTCAAAATAGTTATTATATTGTTCTTTATCTAACAAATATAAAATATATGTTTCTCAATTCAATAGTATGAGAATTCCTACTAATGTATATGATACTTTCAAAGATCTGAGATGGAAAGCTACTAGCAAAAACTAATGGTTTGTAAATCGATGTTCCTTATCAAAGATTCAAGACAAAAAGATTCAATATGGAAGTCTTAAAAGATAATTGACACATAAAAAAGAGACTCGAAGTAAAAAAACTAGTATATCGTAAATGGATCTTCATATCAAAGTTCGTTCAGATGGTAAAATAGAGAGATACAAAGTGTCATCCCAAAAAAAAAAAAAAAAAAAAATCTATCTGAACAAGAAAGTCCAGCCTTAACCCGACCCTTTAACATTCTGTTTGGATAAATTTTAGTGATAATTAATTAATGTATGGTAATAACAATAATTGGATGACAATGATATAGGACGAGAATGATAAATTTTTTTTTATATTTAAATTATTATATGTTAATGACATATTTTTATTTACATGATAGAATAATATAATTATATTTTCAATGAAATTATTAATTTATCTCTATTTATTATATGTAATAATAAATAGTATATAATAATAAAAATAAATTATTTATTAATATAATTATATTTATATTTAATAAAATAAATAATAAATTATGAAAATAAAAATAAAATTAAATATATTATATATAATTATAAAGGAACATAACAGTCACATACACCCCCATTTAGTAGTTTTAAAATTCATTCCAAATTTATCAGATAATACTATTCGGTACTATTAAAAATTAAAATAAATATAATTTTTTCTTACCTATAAAATATTATTCATTAAAATTTTGTGGTTTAACAAGATACTAATAGAGTAGCAGCAAAAGGTCGCCGTTTGAATTGAGCTTCTTTTGCCTGTTTTTACTCTCAGCCGCAGCAGTCGAGAGGAAGAAGGGACTCAAGTTTTGGCTTGCATGAAAACCGAAGAGAAGAGGGTGAGTATCGAAGCCGAAGTCTTCACCGTATCAGCCTTTCCATTTTGATGATGTTGGAATTGAAGCAGAGACAGAGAAGTGGGAAGAGACTGAAGCTGAAAAGGAAGGGGCTTTAATCGAGAATAAATAGGAAGGGGGAAGACGAAAAAAAAAAGGAGAACAGGAAGAAAGAAGGGAAAAAACAGAGGAATTTCCAGTATCCTGGCCGGTCAAGCTTCTGTCTTGGCTTTAGGGGGTAATTTCCAGTAAACCTTAGAGCTCGAGCATATGAGGAATTTATCTCTTTTATGAATGATTTTGAATGGGTTAATTGAAAGGTTTGATTTTGCTGGGGTTTACTTGCGTCTATTGGATATTTGTGATAGTATGGAACTAGTAGGATATGTGTTTGCTCCATGTTCATGTTCTGGTTTAGCATTATTCTGATTATATAGACTGCACCCTTTGAATTGTAATGAAACTAATTCTGTTAACTTACAATTCGTGGCTATAAACTGCATTTAGCTCTTTTTGGAGGTTTGCATATGGATAATTGAATATGACTGGCTGATGACTCTGACCTGACCTTTCCCAGCTTTGTTTGCCTTCGTGTATGCTTTGCTATCTCAGACTGCAAAATCCTATCTGTAAAGACTGTATTAAAATCTAGATCTCTCTTTTTGCTATGCTGTTAATGTGTTGGGATCTTACATAGCTAATGGTACTTAAATATACGCTGGACGCTCTGAAGAAAGGCTACTAGGCATTTTACATTAATTTTTCTGGTTAAAAGTTTAATCATTATTTGGGTCTCAAATCATCTTATTCACTTGACCCATTTTATTTATCTTGTTTAACTTAATA